CCGTTGAAAATATCGAAAAACTAACTCTGGCGTACCTCTAGAATTTCGTCCGAAAATTCCAGCCAACCAAACCGCATCTTTCTAGGTTGAGAAATGACAAAGTCACAGGCTGTTCGCCAATTCAAAAAGTCACGTGACTGAAAACGTGACCAACAAAGCCCCTTCATAACTTGTTAGCCGTTGAAAATATCGAAAAACTGGCGTCCCTCCAGCATTTCGTTCGAGGATTCCAGCAAACCAAACCGCACCCTTCTAGGTCGAGAAATAAAAAAGTTACGGGCTGTTCACCTCTTTAAAGACGTCACGTGACTTAAAACGTGACCTAACAAGTGGACTAACTCCATATCTACGAAAATTGAATAATTCCACATATTTCGAATTTTGACCACCAAGAACGACGGTGACAACATTTTTATCATTAAGGCGATGTTTCGCATTGTATTAGCTATGTCCTGACCAAATTTTGTTCGTGCAACTCTCTTGGTTTCAAAAATACAATACCTATTGTATGTTTTCAGCCACGATATTTCAATAATTCCAAATATTTCGAATTTTCACTACCAAGAACGGCGGTGACAACATTTTTAATAGTAAGGCAATGTTTCGCATTATATTAGCAGGTTGTATTTCTAAAAAAAGTTTTCACTTTTCTGCCATATTCTTTTATTACCATGTTTATAAAATTTATAGTTTCATAAATTTTAATTCCACTCTCAATGCCTGTAATGAGCTTTTTCATAACATGCTACTGTTTTGTATAACCGCGTATTCTATTGTTTGCAACAATTATAATGAATTATAAAAAATTTTCCTGTGTAAAATAATTATATTTATCACAATGTACAACAAAGTAGTTGAAGTAACGACTATATTAAATTTTTTATCTCTAATTGTAAGAAATATCGCCATAAAAACGTATCTTAAGACATAATAAAGAGAAATATTAATATCTGCGGAGTCATCGACACGGCGAGGTGCGAATAATAAATTTATGGCGTCGTTATCATAACATACGACACGTATAATATCTCGAGACTTGCACAATTATAAAATGCCAGCCCGCAAATGGCATTTCCCCCTGATAAATGCCCCGGCACGAAAGGCGACTCCCAACAGATTTTTGCCATCCGAATCGATAAATTAAGACTGCTACACGGCGAAATCGATTCGATTAACGATGAACGAGCGATGCAAAAGTGCACGGGACACGCAACCGGTAAACAAATAAACGCTGTTTCCACGCTAGTTATCCAAATGAGCCTGAAACTGGTTTGCGAACAGCCATCCCCGTGCATCGCCAGATCTCGTTTGTTTCGCTGAAGGTTTATAATTAAAATCGACACATAATAGCGAACATAAACCTCGCGTTTGGGAGTGAGAACGGTCTATTTAATTTTTTTAATTTGTAAATACGCGCTGGCAGCTCACGAGTTTCCTGTTTTAATAAACTTTTTCCTGCGTTAGCGTAATGGGTATAGGAAATGGGGCATATATTAAGTATAAGACGCACGTCAGTCCGCATATCACGTTCTAATATTACACAGCCGGTCATTAGCTGGTAACATGTGAATTAATAATGAAGATTGACTAGTTCAATTGTAGAAAAGTGTTCTTGGCGTCCGTACTAATGACACTTCTATTGTTACAGGGTGCCATGTCTCCATGCGACTCCAAGCCGGTCGTAATCATCTAGCAGCCAACATGCCAACGCGACTGAACCAACACTGAGCCGTAGTTTCCCAGGAAGGCAGCGAAGAGACAATATCTTTAACCATAGACACTTGTACGGTGCATGACAAGCGACACAACATGAAAACCACGAGTCTCATTCTCGTGGTGTCGATACTGAGTGGCGCGCTAGTGACAGAGACGCTCGCCGCGAGTTCCTCCGTGATATCTTCCACGGAAGGGGAAGGAAAATGCGAGGAGATCACCATCCCCATGTGCCTCGGCATAGGCTACAACATGACGCGGATGCCCAACGAGCTCAACCACGAATCGCAAGACGAAGCCGGGCTAGAAGTCCACCAGTTCTGGCCCTTGGTCGAAATCAAATGTTCGTCCGACTTAAAATTCTTCCTCTGCTCCATGTACGCTCCCATCTGCCTCCCGGACTTTCAAAAACCGCTCCCGCCATGCCAAGGGTTGTGCAGAAGAGCTAGGGAAGGGTGCGAACCCATCATGACCCAGTACGGCTTCAAGTGGCCCGAGAGGATGGAATGCGAGAAATTCCCCGTGCAAGGAGGCGAAGTCCTCTGTATGGACCAGCCGGCCCAGTCCAACGCCTCGTCTACTGCTAAACCGCCGCCGTCCCGCATCAAACCCCTCAAACCGTGCAAAGGGTCAAAAAACTGCACAAGCCCCCACGGAGACGGAAGAAAAACCAACACAAGAGAATGCAAGTGCCAGTGCCAGCATCCTCTGGTGTCGCTAGTCTCCATGGGGCGCGAAACCTTACCGATGTTCAACAGAAGCGTCGCCGGCGTCGCAAACTGTGCATACCCGTGCAAGGAGACCTACTTCAACCAGGAGGAGAAAGAATTCGCGGCGATCTGGATCACGCTATGGTCCGGGCTATGCGCCGCTTCTACGCTAATGACACTTACCACGTTCTTCATCGAAACCGAAAGGTTCAAATACCCTGAGAGGCCCATCGTGTTCTTATCGGCTTGCTACTTCTTGGTCTCCATCGGATACCTGATCAGAGTCGGATTAGGACACGAAGAAGTTGCCTGCGAAGCCAAGATTATCCGCTACTCGTCCACTGGGCCCAGCCCGTGCACTTTGGTGTTCCTTCTCGTGTACTTCTTCGGGATGGCGTCTTCAATATGGTGGGTGGTGCTGTCACTTACCTGGTTCCTAGCTGCTGGACTCAAATGGGGCAATGAAGCCATAGCTAGTTACGCGCAGTACTTTCACATCGCCGCTTGGTTGATACCGACTTTCCAAACGTTAGCTGTGCTACTGTCAGGGGCAGTAGATGGTGATCCAGTGTCTGGAATATGTTCCGTGGGTAACATGAACATGGAGAACCTACGGACGTTCGTACTGGGCCCCCTTGTTGTCTATTTAATACTCGGTACTAGTTTCCTCTTGGCCGGATTCGTTTCTCTCTTCAGGATCAGGAACGTTATAAAAAAACAAGGGGGTGCCGGCGCTGGTTCCAAAGCCGATAAACTGGAGAAACTGATGATCAGAATAGGCATCTTCAGCGTGCTGTACACCGTACCCGCTACCATAGTGATCGGTTGCCACTTATACGAGAACACCTTCCACGACGAATGGCTTAAATCCCTAGCCTGCACTTGCCCCAACTCCAACATAATGCCCATGAAGGTCCGACCCCTCTACTCCGTTCTAATGCTCAAATACTTCATGGCCCTAGCAGTCGGGATCACCTCGGGAGTGTGGATTTGGTCGGGCAAGACCCTGGACTCCTGGAGACGGTTGTGGAGGCGGCTCTTCGGCAGACCCGACTTGACAGGCGCTAACGCCGTGCTAATAAAGAACCGCACCGGAAAACCACCCCCACCGCAATATTTAGTCGCAGGACCCGGCAGCGCTTCCTTGCTGGGCCCCACCGGAAGCGTCGCGTCCGCCAGCCAGCACCACCTCCACCACCACGTGCTGAAACAGCCCCCGCTTAGCCACGTATGACAAGCGGGCGAAGGGGGCGCTCCCATGGTGGTCGCTCATCCTCCTCAAGGCTCCGGACCTTCGCTGAGCAATTACGGGCCCATTTGAGTGACCGCCTGGGCCCCCCGCGATATGGTCACAGCTCTCTAGTCTACTGCAACAGTGCCATCGGCCTGCCGGACGCTCGTTCTCTTTTGTACAGACGAAATTATTTTTTAAAGTTTTGTTGTGTATTTATTTATTTACGGAAAAGTGTATAAATGTGAAAATTTTAAATATTGTGATTACGAACTGATTTTTTTACATACTCATGTAGAAATCCTTTACCAGAGTTTCACCTCGGTTTCCTAGGTTCGTGAATATCGTAAATAAACTGGAAATACTAGAAACAAAATCTGATACTTGATTCCGAATCGGTGCTTTCGTTGAACGTTAACTAAATCATTCCTTTGTTTTTATTCTAAACATGAGCTGAATGGACGAAATTTTAATAAATATTTTTTACTTTGTTGTTTATGGTGTTTCATAAAATGGACAAAGATATGTTTAAAAGAGGCTCATACTCACAAAATATGTTCAATGAGTTTTTACACTTTAGAAATCGGTTATCATGTGGTTACAAACCTGGGAAATTTCAGTAAAATTCTGTGTACTGTTACGACTCAATTTGTATAAAGCCCCTTCATTGGTCGATATTTGACACCAGAAGAAAGACGTTATTTATTAGGTGTCTAATTGGACAAAATCAGTTGTAGATCTTTTTCGGGTGCCACTTTACCCCAATGTAAAATAAACACATGTGCTCGAAAAAAAAAAGTAGATTCACTTAGAACCCCTGAAGCAGACAGTGTTGTTTAATGTTCTATTTCAAATGCAATATAGGGTCTAAGGTAAACAATGAGCCGAGTAAACTCTCACATTGATTTATTGCCTAAAAATAAAAAACATCCAACCCAGTTGGTTATCTTCGCCCGACTCCTCGTCGACTCAGTACTATCAATCAGACCTGTCTTAACACTGCCTCAAGAAACACAAATAAAATCCATACTTCCCAATTCGTAAAAAGCGCCTAAAAATAGACCTGTCCTCAACCTGCACTTCCGTAAAAAACTTGAGAGATCCAGTTTGAATTCATGTGGCTGCTGAGGCATTACGATCCATGACACTTTATTTACAATATACAGGGATGGACGAGGTAACAATCACCTCTTTGAAAGAAAAATCTCACTAGGTTACAAACATAGCCTAACTAAAGACTTTTCTAGCTAAACAAGGTGGCAAAATGCATTTATTAACCAAAATGGTACTTGAGAACTAACGTAGATATGATTAATAAAAGTTATCTGACATGCGAGATATGATACGATAAGAGTTGAATAACTGAAATGTAATTATATTGAGAGAAATGGTTCCAAGGAGCATCTACAATTGGTACTGGTGACCAAATATCGTGTTTTAAAATTACAACAAAGATCATCCCTTTGAACAATCTCTCTCGGATCGAAAGCGTTGCAAAAATTTATGTAAATCCGTCTTTCCAGATAGCTACACTTCAGCTGAACTTGTAAGTTGTCTGCTGAAGTGTAGCGACGGAACTGACGCTTATAATAATTCAAAAGTGATGAGAACATATACGTAACTAGTTTTAATTATTGGGAGTGTGTCGATCATATGTGTGTGAAAGGGGATTTGAACTTCAAGGGAATGTTGTGAGAGTGACCTAGCCATATTCAATGCCATATTCGTGCCACAAAGATATTTGGGGACCATTTCGAAAAGAAAAAAAAAACGGGAATTCTACTGAAGCTTCAAATCGTCTGTCTGAATGCTAGTGATTTGTAAAAATATCTTAATATATTCTTGTAGTTCGGGTTAGTCTATAGGTTTTTATATTAAATTATTGAAGTGAACCCCGTAACCTTTTGTACTTATTACTGTCTATTTAACCAATGTGTAAATATGTCTGTGCAGTCACGTATATCGAACAGAAGTCTACTGTTATATATGTACTAATTAAATATTGAATAAGATTATTAATGAAGGGACGCCCTTCGTCAAACAAAAAGTGATGATTTGTATCCAATTTATAGCTTTACGAAATTAAATTATATATATAGAGTGTAGAACATATCAGATTTTATAAAAAGTTTTTATCCGCACATACATCTCTCTCTGGGTATAGATTGTCACGGTTGAGTTGGTTTAATAAGGTTCATTTGTATTTTAACTGATTTCGTTTTATGGAATAAAACCAATAACGACTGAGCACAAATTTATTTTGTATATTTTTTTTATGGAACTTGTACAGCATATTGTAACTGCGTGTATAGTAGTCATAGTTATTGTAACTTGTATGTATGCTTCAAAATGTATACGATTTTAATTATATTTTATTGTTTAAATTTAATCTCGTTCGTTTCACTGTCTCTCCTTCAACTCCCCACTACACTACAGGCCAGGAAATATAGAGTTGGGCGCGACTTTTTATTTCGGCAAGCTGAATTTATCGCTGTAGATGCTAAATATTATGTACAATGACATAGTTTCCACAGTCATAAAAATGGAGGGGAAGATTGTTTACAGGCTGGTTAATTGTATAATTTTTACGTAAATTCACGTTTTTCGCTTATAACTTTTTCCGTTCATTTCTTAGAGAAAACAGTAAAGTACTTTTTTTCGTTTTCAAAAGACCTACAAAACTAGCCCTCGAGCGTCAAAAAATATTGATTAGATCAAAAGTTATAATCCGAAGTTTATGACTTTTGAATTAAACATTTATAAACTACAGTTACAGACTATGACGGCCTATTGTTAGGTTAGCAGCGGCAACATAATATTTAGCATCTATAGTGATAAATTCATCTTGCCGAAATAAAAAGACGCGAAATGGTCATTTACCAGCTCTTTTTCCTGGCCTAACTATACACATTGTAACAAATACTTATAAATACATCAAAAAGGAAAAAAAAGTCAATCTATTTTTTTGAATTACAGAAAATCGACTGAAGTAATTTAATTAAAATTTAATATACAGGATGCCCGTAAATTTCACCGACAATGTCCCGAGAAATGGGATCATACAAAACCAAAATTATTTTCACCATGACAACAGTAAATAAACAAATCGGACTGCTGTATTTGGCGTTATTCACTTTTTTCAAATAGTCAAAACCAATAAGCAAATGAAAACCTAAGGATAACTACAAACAAAATTAAAAAGGATTATTAGTTTATAGTCGATTTCAAGATAACAGTTTAAAAGGAATTTGAAAGTTTGGGACTTTTCCAAAAAGTAATCTAGAAATAAAAAATTGGTCATGCAACCAAAACAAGCTGATAAGGACTGCTCTCATTATGTGACTGGAGATTTGTATTAAAATCACAGATAAAAAGCAACTATTGCAAAGGTAAGTAAGTATCTTTACAATTTGGAACTGACAATGAGCCAAAATGGTCATAAAAATAACCTTGAATACAAAAACGAATTAAAAATGTCTATAAAAGTTGTTTTATAGTCAGATGCATACATTTGCAATCGATTAAAGCAATACCCAAAAAAATGATAGAATAAAGACAATTTCCTGTATTTACTTTGTGAATTGTTTTAAATTTGTCGTGGTTAATAAGTGCATAAAAACAGTAACAGTAGCAATAAAACACCTAACATTAACCGTACCACTTAAAATTTATCTCCTCAAGTAATTTTAAGTATTTTTTCTGCTACTGATTCTAAACTGGCGGTATAAGACTAAAGAATATGGTCAGTGGTCTTCAAACTGCCGACAATATTAGGTATAAATCAAGTGTAAAGTACATTTAGTGCTAAAAATGACACATGTGATAAATTCCTGATTTATTCGTTACACTCTCTCCAGTTTCACCGGTGATGTTTCGAGTGAGTTTTCTACCGTGACATTGAACAAAAATCTGATAAAAGTCACACAAACAACGATAAGGAATGAAAAATAGAACCGATCAATCAATCAAACTAATCAAAGCCATCAAATATCGAGGTGAAACTAAATAGAATAAGATTAAATTTTTAATGAAAGCATAATAATTCAATATTTAACGAAGGCAGACATCTATATTGGGGAAACAAAGAAATCAATGATCAAATAAGTACTGTGAAATACTCGCTAGTGTTTGGATATTATCTACATAAACATTAAAAATAACGACACGTCAGTGATAAGGGTCCGTATCTCGTAAACGATTATTTTTGGAAATATAACACACACAACATGATACTAAACTGAAATATGTAGAGATAGATACGTACAAATGTACCAAGCTACAAAACTTAAGGTGTTTACATTGCCAGACGTAGGTACAATTTTTTTAGATCAACCAAAAATGATATGAAAAACATAAATTCGTTAAATATTTTCGAGAATAATCATATCTCGCGTAAAAATAGTCATTCCAAATATTACAAATTTATTGCAAACTGTTCATTGTCCACAGAAGCAAAGGGGTTTGTAGTCTGCAATGGTCAAAGTACTAAAATCTCTGTCGCCAACGACTATGAATAGAATTACGAATGCACAAGCATGTCTGGCCACAAAAATCATAAATATCGCCGTTTGGTCACGTAAAATATAGTGTGAATTGTGAGCCATTACCTGCGTGCACTCGCATGCGTGTAATTTAAAATAGGAAATTCCCTGGTACAGTCGTTGCATATAAACGGACTTTTTAAAATAGGAATAAGTTAGGATTACAATATGAAAATAAAATACACCGAGCTAAAGTGTAAATGAACTAACAATTCGGCTTAAAGTGAAAGCATTTTAGGTCGAAATATTGTTATTACTTTTAAAATGCAAAGAAAATAATTTAAAATTTACTTTAGACGGAACGAAAATATCACTTTAGCTTAAATGAAATATCAGTTTAGCTTCTACCCTATAATTGTTATTTAATCTCTTTAAATTGTGAACATTATACAATATGAAAGAAAATGTAATTAATTTTGCACAAAGTTAAAGACCACTTTAGCTTAAACCAGAGTAATATCACTTTAGTCGTCACTCCATAATTTGTAATTTGTTTAGTTTTTGAGATAAAATTTCACTTTTTCTTAAAGTTAAGTAATCAGCTTAGCTTAAAATATAGTTTTCACTTTAGCTTCTATTGCAAAATGTTTATTTTCTAGTCTCTTGCTCTGAGCACTACAATATTACACGCTGCAAATTCCACTTTAGCTGCTACTTCATAATTTGTCCTTAATTTTAGTTCATTTGGATAAAGTTTCACTTTAGCTTAAAATATATTTATGACTAAGATTTTAACTTCCAATATACATACTTCTTGCCAAAATATCACTTTAATTTAATACAAAATAATGCCACTTTAGTTCAAAGTAAACTATCATTATAGACTAGATTGTAGTTATCATTTTAGTTTCTATTAAAAAATTTTTCTTTTATTTAATGTATTTGATCGTGAATACCACAACACGAAAAGTCTTACGCAATTAAAGTGTAATTTCACCTCAAAAAGAACATTTTAGCTTAAAGTGAACAATTAGCTAAAGGTGGAGCTGCACTTTCCGATTCTGACAAATTCGTAGTTATCACGTTCCCCTCGTAATTTCACATTCATTGGGGGGTTAATAAGGAAGTTCCATCTATACCATCCAAAAAATGTCTACGGCATTGGTCTAGGGGTCAAGACTTTTCCGACCCAACTACTACGTGAGATTACCTACCCAACAATTTAATAATTATAAACGTCAGTCGCAATTTGAGATTCCCAGAGAAGATTAACTGACTCGCGCAGGAACGGCATTTACAAAAAACTAAATAGGAAGGCGTGTTGCAATTATATACCCGGGAAACTGAGTACGTATTCATATCCAGTAAACAAAAATCGCCGCAGTGCCTAGAAAACTGTTGAACTGGCAAGGGAGCGCGAGGTAATGGGTTTTGAAATTTGATTTCTCCAATTTCTGTAATTAATTATTTTGCAAATTGTGCTGTCGCGATCGTGAGGTCTTTTATTAATATTAGTGGGCGTGGACACCGTATATCTTAAGGATTACATACACGACAGGTGAAATCTGACTTTGTTTTATATCCTCTGGTGACTAGATCAGTATAAAAAATTTTGATTTGTTTATTTTTTAATACGCGCTCTACATTTTAAAATATTTAGATCGAATTGCAACGATATAAGGTTTGTATCTTTAAAAGTAAGGTAGATACGGCCAAAGGAGTGTGATCATAAAAACGATAATTTTACTTAAATATCGAAATTTGTGAAGAAAATAACGTTTCTCAAGTTTTTATATACAGTTTCTAATCAAAAAGCTACGCAAACCGATCGTGTATGGAGTCCTTTAAGTCCCGCAGCCAGCTATGAGTTGATGGGAATTATGAGACATAATTGCTAATTATAATTACCAGTATAGTAATGAATATTTTCCTTCACTTAGAAGTAAACAGCAACTAATGACACTATGTACCTCACGGGTCTCGGGACAGATTATGGTGCCTTTCATATAATAGGTAAAAACTTGCAGATGTTTAAGTTAAAGCTATAATTATTAGTCATAAGTACGTCGTTCAAATATGGGCACTTTTCTACAGTCATATATACAAACTAGGTCTATGTGTTCCCGCAAAATTATTTAGATAAGATTGATTTATTCACGATCATGTCAAAAGTGAATGTTTTTTACATAAAAAAATCTTTTATAAGAGTAGTTTTAAAGCTTTCATATCCCCTTCTCCAAAAGATTCGCAGGGATTGAGGAAGCGCAATGCGAGTCTAACTGGCGCGCTATTAACTATCGCAAACAGCATTGGCCCTAAGCTGGATCCCTGTGGGACTCCAGATGTGGCATGTAATGCGACATTTCTAAAGTCACAGTAGCTTCCGTTCCAAGGCTAAATCATACCTATCGCATTACCCGTGACAGGAGAATATTGACCAACTAATGGCCGACTTATCGTAAATACAGGAAGCATTGACAAAGCAACCAGGCTCGTATCGCTCGGCGGAGCGAAAGCATGCAAATTCCATTTACCCGCCGTCGTTCCTTCTCCGCTTGCGCCTACCGGGACCGTAACGCATTCGATTGTTTTTATTTTCGTAATGACGTATGTGTTCTCCGATTTTATTGCCCTATCAATATATATTCATGCCGAACGAATGGCTTTTCACTATTGATAAAGGAAATTGCCTTCTTGGAATGGAGCGCCGTTAAGGTTTCGCCGTGCATTATGCATTTTAACGACTGGATTCTTTTATGACGGTGTCCTTTTTCTTATTTAAATTAGATGTTGCGCCGGCTGCCAGACAAACAATTTTCTGGAAACTGAAAAGATTTGTCGGCGCGCGACGCGATGGCGATATAAATTGGAACTTTGTTGTCGCTTTGTGTCTTTGCAAAGAATTAAG